TTTTTCTTATTGACAAATTTAGTTTTATTCTTAAATACATAGGAACATAGTTCTAAAATATAAATGCACGCCAATGGTAGAATTTTCGTAGTAGTAAGTTTCTTAGTAAGTTTCTTCTAATTTATTTTAATAGTTTTTGTTAAAGTAATTACTAATTAGAAACATTACTTTTTGGGGGATATTTTATATATAATATAATTTTATAATAATTTAGGTGTTTTTACAGCTTAATGTTCCCCCCACAGCCCTGCTAATTTTTAAATCGATCCATAAACCGTTTTCTCGGACCGATTGATCAAAGTTTTGCAAAAAAATTAAAGAAACAATTGTACATATGGTTTCTGAACATCGTCTAATCTTCGTCAAGATAAGAAAAATAATATTTTTCAAAAAATCATAAAAGGGCATTTATTCCATTTCATGTAAAGTCAGATATCTAAGCGACAAATTAACGTAAAAGGAATATGAAAAAAGCATATTAAAGGTGAACAAACATGCTATCCGGCCTATGCATGACAACTAAAAATCATAAAAATTTAGTTTTTTTTTTCGCTTTATTACTTAGAATTGCGTGATAACCGTAGCATAGAAAAAATATTTGTCAAAAGATCTCAAAACTAGAAACTTAAAGCTTCAAAATGTTTTTGTTTTTTAAATTTAGATACGACCATTTTTCGATGAGTCACAGCCTATCAAAAATCACCAAAAAATTTAAGAAAATTATTAAATTTAGGTATAGGGAATGTTAATACAGATCAATGCACAATTATATTCTCTTCTATTTAGCAAAATAAAAATTGGGGTATTTCATTTGAAAAAATTGAGTTATGAGTATTTGAATTATTACAAAAGTAACCTTAAAATTTTGGGATATATTTTTTTTCAAATTTTGAAAACACCATAAAAAGGATCTAAGCTTTCTCTTTCAAACGCCAAAAAAAAACGTATTTAAAAACTTAAAAAATGGCAGAGTTACCGATTTTTGAAGTGGAAGGTGGAGATCCAAAATTTTGAAAAACTCCAAATATTTCAAAAACGGCTAAATTTAGGTATAGGGAAAGCTGATCAAAACTCCCTTAACATAACTCGATTAATCCAAAAACGCTGTAAAAAATATACCTTTCCATTTAAAATAATAAAGTTGAGACCGACTTCCGGTATAACCGAAAGTGCCGCCATCTTGAAAATATTTTCATTTAGGAGGATTTAATGGTTTATGGCTATGTACCAATTTTCAAATAAATACGATTATTCCAACTACCAATAAGTACTTCTAATGTGGAGTTTAGACGGAACACCTTGTATAATTGCATACACTGTAAAAATCAAGTAACCCATCTTTCTAACTTTCACAATGTGTGTTGTCGTTTTTGAAATTTCAAAGTATTTTTAGAAAAGAAGTTATATTCCGTTCTTGTTTCCATCTCTTCTTCACTCTTAAAATTGTGCATTTGTTTAAATAAATTCTTTTAGACTGCAACTGCTTTTATGTTATTGTTAAGGCTATAGCTTTCTTCCAGTTTAGACAGCATACATTTTTTTTTGAGTAAGTTGTGGCATTTTTACTATTCAACACTGACAAGGTTTATATCATGCTAATGTCCACTTAATCCAGCACAAACATGGTGTACGCGATTTTATTGTCCGCCAGTGTACATCGTATAACTCATAGTAGTAGCTAAGAATGTATTTTGGGTTGCGTTTAAAAATCGGTTAGGGTCTTTATAATATAACTCACCCTGTATGAAACCAAAATTAATAATCTTCTTGATTATAATATCACAAAATTTAAAAAAGTTCATGTTGATGCTACCAGAGAGGTGTTGAAAACCTGAAAATTGATTGATGGTTAAACAAACCCGTAAGTGTGTAAAAAGCTAAAAGCTCTAAATAATGCAAAAATCGTGTTTCTTATTATGAGATAAATGGATTTATTTTTATGATGGGAGTCGGGGGACTAAAACTTTATTGGTTTTGAACCAAAAATGATATTTTACAAAAATATATTCATATGATTAATACTCAGGTTTTGATTTGAAAACAGGCCATATATTGCATTCAAACTTTCCGCGTCTTTGCTAAATCTGACTATATTTTTAAAATTCACTAAACATAAGCAAATCCACTTAGCTTTTCCATCTTTCATTTTTCATTTTACACACAAAAGAAATTTTTGCTTCGGCACTTTTCAATCGCAAATCCGTTATAACTCACATCACTCATTTTTCGACTACTTCCAACCAAATCATTAATTAACAAAATGATGTTTTATCACTCGATTTCAGGTTTCGGTTGTAAACTAGCAGGTTTCCTCACAGTTTTCGCCAGCCACCTCTCGATTTTCACCTTGACCATCATAACCCTGGAACGCTGGTTCGCCATAACATACGCCATCCACTTGACTCGCCGCATCCGTCTGGGGGCTGCCGCCAAAACCATGCTCGGGGGTTGGATGTACTCAATTCTCGTCGCATCACTTCCTCTAGTCGGAGTCAGCAATTACAGCAGCACGAGGTGAGGAATGGCTTTAAGGCTAAAGGGGACGACAAAGTTAAACCAAGTGTGCGACAAAGACAAGTATATTGAAGTTTACTTGGCTGTTTTTAGCGATGTTTTTGATCCAATTCTAAATCAAAAAATTGAATTCAGTTTTAAAGACATTTTGAATTTTCGCCAACGGAACACTTTTTTGAAAAAAAATATCTATTTTTTTTATTTAAATTGTATACAAATATTCATAATATTTTTAAAAACGCCTAGGGGAAAGATGTACTGTGATGATACGAATAGAATGCGACCAAAAAACTGAAAAAATTATTATTAGTTTTTGACGAAACGCGAATATTCATTTCACTTTGACAAAATTTGGCTAAAATGTAAGTATGCACCAAGGTCGCAATAAAAATTTGTCAGAGAAGAGTTCAGCTACATTCAAATAAAAAAAAAATACAAAAGTGGAACAGAAAGTCATAAATAAATGTCATAACTTTTTTTCAATGTAAAAAAATTTGAAATCAATAAAACGCTATTTTTTCTATTCTTTTTCTGTTTTCCTTATTTTCATTGACTTACATAGCCTAGGATCTAGTATTTCTGGTACTAAGGCCTTTTGGTAAAAATATTTTATCTTGGGTAAATTTTTTTCTCATAACTTGGGATCCGGAAAAATGCGATCAATAGAAATATTTTGTTCTGCCCAGAAAATAAAATCACAATTTTTTTTATTGGTGACCCGTAATTGAGTTTAATAATCGTGTTTTTTTCAATTTATTGTTTTTGTCTAGACAAAAATGAGGTCTATCTCTTATGGCTTCTTCGATGGTTTTATTTTTTGCAAAAAATGAACACTGAAAGGAAAAGGAAACTGAAATATTTTCTACATGATAAAATTCTTTGAATTTTGTCTGTGGTATTTGTGAAAATAGAATAATGATAAAGTTGATAGGTTTTGAATAATTAACATTTTAATATTGAAAATCTGAAACTTGGAATTATTTATGGGAGGGTTTGCGGTAATTGGTGATAAGGCCAGAATTTCTTGAGAAAAGAAAAAGTTCCGCAATGACATTTATGACGTACCCAAGCTCTATTGTGAATTCTCCACTCTATTGTCAATGCATTAGCAGCACATCATCCAAAGCTTGGCTATAAATTTCCAAAATTCCCACTTTTCAATATTAAAATGTTAATTACCCAAAATCTATCAACTTTTACATTATCCAATTTTCATAGTGACCATTAGAAAAAATCAAGCAATTTTATCATGTGGAAAAGATTCCAAATTTGGTTTTCAAAGTCCCACTGACTTACGCAAAAAATTTTGAACAATATTAAAGCATCAAATTGAAGTCTATATAATCCTCTATCGTTTGCACTAGCATTTTTTTTTTAATTAATTAGAAATATTTATTTTTGCGCCGGCCTTAAAACCTGGAACACTCTGTATAGAAACGATCAAACTAAGGGAGCCCAAGAACTGGTTTTTCTTCTTTTAATTATTTTTCCTATTTTCTAGGCGGCGATTCTTTACTTTCTTTCATTAAACCAACTGTCAGATCCACTTTGTTCCCTAGTAGCGTTTTCGATAAAGTCTCGTTTCTCTTCTGTTACATTCAAACTTGCTACAAAATCTCTAACTTCTTTTTTGAGAATACTTGAATTCAAATCGGGTTGTTTGCAGTTTTCTCCGTAGTCTTCTTGGTCGTTTCTAGTAGGTAACGTTTTATTTTTTCTAGCTTTTTTCTAAGAGAAAAAATTCACTTACGCAATATTGTGATTTGGTTCCCCAAAATCATCATCAACAATGTTGTTATCGTGGGATCTTCACTCCAGATTTTTTCATTGTCACATGTCACCTTAATCGCGAATTCAAATATTTGTTTGTAATTAATTGATGTAAACTGACCTCAGGAAATTTGGTATAAGAGTTTGCCTTATTTAAAAATACCGTATTGTTGGGTAGTGGTTGCTTCCAAACATTACCTTCCTCACAACTGCAACAAGGGTAGGGCAAAAAATGCGGCGCGGCGATACAAAATTTGCGTTTTGATGACTTTCCCGTTATCGAATTTCAAAAATAAAAACATTTTTCTTTTCAGTAAAAAATGGTAATTCGTCGCCCTATCTTGTTTTTTCAAAAATATTTTCTATTATACCTGTTTTTAATATTTTTTTCAAAAAAAGAACAAAAATTAAAAAAGTGTTACATTGGCGAGTTTTCAAATAATATTTTATGTCCGAAACTTGTTTCCAATTATAAAAAATGTGAATAGTTAAAGAGAAAATAGAAATCAAGGCCATCTGAATCAAAAAGCTGCGCTTATAACTTATGATAACTGTTTCTGAAGAGTGGCCATAAAAACAAAACAGACAGAACCTTATTGTGCGCCCGGGGTGGTCGATTAACGAATCAAAGCTACAATATTAAATTAAAAGCAGTTCAATTTATAAACATTGGCGGCAATTTAAAACAATACCCTTCAATTTTACAAAATAATAGTATAAAATAGTAAAAACCGTGTTTCATTTGTGGGGCAAAAGATGTTCCCTTATTTGAAATTCCGAGCAATATGCAACAAAGGCAAAAATGGTGCCAAACTTTTGAAATGTTTTGCGGTAAGCAATTTTATGCAGACAATGATAATTGATAAGGATAGCCTTTTACTTTGTATTTGTCATATTAAAGACACTACAAAAATTACGAATTACTGAATAAACAAACGAACCACATTGCAGAATAATATTGAAGTTATAAATTGTTGTAACCTACCTCGTGTTATGATTTCATGTTTTTTTTGCAATCCTAACTTATTAGTATTTTGCTAGTCCAGAATGTACCTAAAATAAGCTCAGATCTTGGATATTTTATAGCATTTATGTTTTAATTGATGTTTTAAGCACTTAACCTAAAAATAAAAAGTCTAAAAAGTCACAATCGACTGCGATCGAAATCGGTAGATGGAGCCCAATAAGTTACTGACGTCGGAAATGTCATAGAAACAAAGTTTATATGGAAAAATCGAAAATTGAAACGGCCTTATAAGCGCAGCTTTTTGATTCAGATGGCCTTGATAGAAATATAAATTCCGCGCCATCTGCCGCTTTAGCAACAAACTAAAACATGTTCCCCTTTAGCCTTAATGGACTTGCCTCATGAAGAGTTATTTACAGCATTTGTCTCCCGATGGAGGTGAACCGAGTCGCCGATAGGGCCTATCTCTACTCTATAATCCTAGTTAATGCAATAGCTTTTGCTCTAATCGCGTTCTGCTATGCTCAGATTTATCTGAGTTTGGGACAAGAAACGCGCCATGAAATGGCCATTGCGAAAAAATTCGCACTGTTGGTGTTTACGGACTTTGCAACGTGGGCTCCCATTTCGTTTTTCAGCGTTACGGCCCTGGCGGGGTACCCGCTGATCGGCGTGACGAAAAGCAAGATTTTATTAGTGTTTTTCTACCCGATTAATTCGTGTGCGAATCCGTACCTGTATGCCATTATGACAGCACAGTACAGGAAGGATTTCTTTATTCTCTTGTCGAGGTAAGGAATTATTTTGTGATGGCTTAATTCTCTTTTTGCTCAATAAAGCCGCTTGTTATTAGTTGGAAATGTTTGTGAAAAGAAATGAAATAAAATGAAGAAGCGTGAGAGAATGAATAAAATTTCTTTAAGAGGAAAGAATGTTGATTGATCAAGCGTAGTCGCAATTTTGTTTGTAATCAATAGCTCTTTGTCGAAATTTTAAGACTATGGTTGATAAAAGCAATCTTTTGCTTTTGATTAAACCGCACCGGAAGTAAATTTACCCGATGTTCCGTTTGACCTCTTTCTACTTTAATTAAAACTTATTTTTGCCCTTTTTTCTTACTACAAAGAAATTTTAAAAAGGTGGTTACACGGTTGCACCTATTAAATGACTCGATGTGTTTTAATTGTTTTGTTTTGCCACAGCATTTCAAATATAATTATATAGCATGTTTTATATAAAATTTCCAGGTTAGCGATTTTTGAATACAACCAGTAATGCAATAAATTACTGATAACTTGATTCATAGAAATTATACTACAAGGTGTTTCACATAATTTTACGAGGCCTGCGCCTATAAGATGATGCAATCAATAATACATATTCCGTTACGAACTCGATTACAAATTTTGAAAAATTGGAATAATCTTCTCTAGTTTGTTCACCCTTTCAAAAATTACAACGTTTTTAATTAGTTTATTAACACATTATTAACACATTTTTACAGATGCGTTTTTTTCAGAAAGAATTATTAGAATTTGTATTTAATATAGTTTCTAAAAAAAACTCCAAAATATACTTTTAATAATAAAAACAAATGTTTTTTTAAAGTAAAAAAAGTCGCCCCAGCCGATAACACCTTAACTTACTTTTTTTTCAAAAACTGAATTTTCAAATAATACTATTCATTCCTGGCTTACTTAGTAAATGCATCAACTTTTTTTGGCACATCCTCTGTAGCCGGAAATGCTAACAAATTTAGTTTTACAAATGGAACAATAATTGGCATGAAAAATACGGTAAACAACTATTTATTACACTTTACTCTAATGAACTCAGAAAACAATTTAAATTTTAGAATTTCATTAGCAAATTTTGCAACGTAGGCGGATCTTACTTGTCAAGGTATTCATGCTAAAAGCAATATGCTTGAATACCGTTTAATTGTTAGTTTGACAAAGCCTAATTTGTCAATAAATCTTATTGAGACTTTTAATAATGGATGATAATAATTACGACGAATTCGTATCAGTTTGAAGTGTTTTATGACTGCAATAAAAATAAAGCGGAAACTGAAAGACTGTAAAGAGAAAAATACCCAAATCGTTGGAAATTTAATCGAATTGAAAAACAACTAAGACGAACTGGTTCGCTTCTTAAAACTAAAAAACCTGTGTTTCTTAGTGAAGAACAAGAAAATCAAAGAGTTTTCATAAGAGAACTCGCTCATCAACTAACAAATTAGATTTGTCAAACCAACAATTAAACTGTATCCAAGTATTTTTTTAATCACACCTTTCCTTTAAAATTAAAAATCAGGCTACGCGACCAATTTCCTTATAAAATTCTAAGATTTAAGATGTTTTCCGAGTGGATTGTGTTACGCAAAAAGTAATAAATAGTGGTTTACCGTATTTTTTATTGTTTCGAGGAAAAAAACATAGGTGTTCTATTTGAAAAACTAAATTTGGTAGCATTTCCGGCAACACCGGATGTGCTAAAAAAAATTGATACATTTATTAAGAAAGCCAAGAATTAATATTATCACTTAAATATTTACTTTTGAAAAAAAGAAGTAAGTTTAGGTGTTATTAGCCGGGGCGACTTGGACCGAACACCCTGTATATTTTCAATATCAATTAATATTTTTATAATAATATTTAATAAAAACGAATTATTCATCACAAAAACTATTTTAGTTAAAATTTTTCATACTGAAATCAGTGTTTATAAAATATTTTTTTATTTTTAATTCCAATTATGGTATTCAATAATTAAAAAAAATCCTGATTATTAAAATCAATAAACAAGTATTTTAACAGTTGACACGCTCTTTTTTGTTTATTTAGGTATAAAAATATTCAAATAGATTTTTGTTATTGAAAAAAATACTTGCTCATTATTATTTATTGGTCGGTTTTATTACATTCAGACGAAAAAATATTGTGGGAGTATTTTTCCCAAACCTAATTCAAGGTTTGTTTTTTTTTTTCAGATGCGGCTTATGTAAAAAGAAAGCACAAAAATATACTCTAACCACATCAAATAATTCACACCCAATTCCACTCCTCCAGCGATCGAACGGCCAGTGCCAGATAATCAAAGCGAATCATATTGATGACACATTGATATAATGTGATTTCTGTTCTGTGATTTGAATTTTAAACATGGACAAATGACTTTTTTACTATTCTTGTATGACCCTGCTTTTAGTCTAGATACAAATATTGACATTCCTATTCCTGTAATTTTAGGCTCAATAATTGTGTTTTTGTAAAATCAGACGAATAGGGTAGACAATAAATGATATTTTGTACAGATCTAGCATTTTTATATTTATTTTGTAAATAAATAAGTCTAGCATTTTATTTTCTTTGTACACACCCGACTCTTTCCAGCCTTGGCACCGATCAGGGCCGTACCCCAGGGGGGGGGGGGAATTATGGGGTTCAAACGAAACAAACGAAACTAAGAGGTTTAGCCAAAAACGAGTATAACATTCTGGGGCTCATTTTTTGAGAAAATAATATTGGTTAAAACCGCATCCTGCTATCGTCTTTTGTTTTTGACTTATAGACAAAAATTGACATTTTAGCGAAATCTAAAAAAATTCATATCTTCGTTATTATAGAAGACACAGATTTGAAACAAAGACATTATAGGCACTTTTTTACGTAGAATTTAATAATGTAGTTAACAATTTTTTTTCAGTTTGTTTAGCCGTAATAAAATAAACTTTAATTTTTTTATATGGGAATCATAGTTGGCTATGTCATTTCTAAAAAGCTTGTTTTTTTCTTACCTAAAAAATATAAGTTTGTTACAGAATCTTTTTATAATATACTTAAAAAGTGAAATACATATTTTGTTTGATAATTTCACTCCAAATGTGTAAATAATAATCAATAAGAGTTTTGTGAACTGTAAAATAGATGAAAAAATAGATAAAATTATAAAAATTTAAAAAATACGATACGGTAGAAGCATTGAACAAATATGCGAGCGCCTCAGAACAAAATTATTACATATTTTTTAAAAATCCAAAAATAAGGGAAAACAAATGTGTCAACAGTCAACACAATTAGAAAAAACATTTTTTTGATGATTTAATGGAGGTAGGATAACGTTTCACATAGACGGAATTTGGATATTTGAATAGCCATATCGTCATTTTTGTGTCATATAAAATATATTTTATTGAAGAATTAAAGCGGCTTCTGTTACAACACTCTATGTATCACTAGAAGTTACAATGGTAATGTTAGCTTGTTTAAAAACAAAGAAATGTTATTAGTCGCCAATAAGTTGATTTACAATTTATTTTGCATCTTTTTCATCACTTAGTACTTAGAAAATTCTTTCATTAGTGACACTGGTTGAATATAATATAGTTTAAATCCTTTTAGTTGAAGATGCAACATTTTTTTATAAATTATAATAATTTGTTACAAATATATATTTTTTAGATAAGAAAAAAACAAGCTTTTCAAAATTGCCATAGCTGCCTATAATTTCCATTTAAAAAAATACAAGTTTATCTTATTACGGCTAAACTAATGACTGAAAAAAAATATTAACTACATTATTAAATTCCTCGTAAAAAAGTGCTTCTATAATGTCTTTATTTCAAATCTGTGTCTTCTATAATAACGAAGATATTAATTTTTTTAGATTTCGCTAAAATGTCCATGGCCAACTATTATCAAACAAAAAAAGTATTTCACTTTTTAAGTATAATTTAAAAAAATATATTCTTTTACAAATGCATATTTTTTAGATCAGAAAAAAATAAGGTTTTCAAAATTGCCACAGCCGCCAATGATTTCTATTTAAAAAAATACAAGTTTATGTGATTACTGCTAAAACAATAACTGAAAAAAAAATATATTAACTACATCATTAAATTCCTCGTAAAAAGTGCCTGTATAATGTTTTCATTTCAACTCCGTATCTTCTATAATAACGAAGATATGAATTTTTTTAGATTTCGCCAAAATGTCAACTTTTGTCTGTAAGTCGAAAACAAAAGACGATAGCGATGCGGTTTTAACCAATATTATTTTCTCAAAAAATGAGCCCCAGAATGTATTACTCGTTTTTTGGCTAAACCTCTTAGTTTCGGAGATTCCATATTCGGACATCCAAAATGCAGCACCCTGTACACCTAAACAAATGCCAAATAACAAAATTTTTAATTAGGGGCGTCCTAAACGGTAACCCATATTTAATTTTTAATTGTTATGCTGTTTATGGTCTAACATAAATTTTTAAACCGATTTTTACTAAAACTCCGTAAATTGTATCGGAAAAACAAAAAAGACCTTTTTTTTATGAAAAACTATGAAATTTTGTTGCTGAAAGTGGCAAGAAACCACTGGCAAAATAGTTAGAGTAAATTTGTACCCTAATCCCATCTATTTTTAGCAAGCCCCTAATTAAAAATTTCAACATTTTATTTGTACTTGTTTAGGTGTATAAAAGTTATCATCTGTACCGAATTTTGAAATTATTTTCTAAGATGATTTCGGAAATATTCAAATAAAACCTATTAAAAGACGCACCCCTTGCGTAGCATTTTTCGATATACAGGGTGAATATAAAGTATGGAACCAAGCGGTTTTATTTTTAATCATTTGCCTCCAGAAAATAATAATTAATATAAATTAGAGTAATATAAAATATGAGATCGTATTTTCAGAACGAAATTTTGTTTTTTTTTGAGTTATGCGATTTTTTTTGTCAAAATTGCAATTTATGTGAAAAATTTTTTTTGAAAAAAATTAAATATAAAGTAGATAGTTGTAATCCTTAGAGTATA